GACCAGGGAGGCCAGGGAGCCAAGGTGCAGGGGGTACCACGAAGATGTGGCGTGGCTTTCCGTGCCATCCCCAATAATCTGCTTTGGCCCAGCTGGGTAAATGTGCTGTGACGTGGATGCGGGACATGTGTTCCCTTCTTGTGGAATCAACTGGGAATTCCCGATCACAGTGTCCTCGAGGCACCCCTGGACCCAACCTCATGCTTTTCCTCAACAGCACCCAGCTCAGCCCAGGGGGGCGCAGTGCTGCACCCCATCCTCACGGTGTTGCTCTTAGACAGTTTGGGCCCAGCCTCCCTTGTGTTTGGGGCATAACTGTCCTGCTCAAATGCTCCTCCTTCCTGTGGGCCTTGACCCCCCTGTTGCTGCCTCTGTCTCGACTTTGCTGTTGCTGACATGGGCCTGGCAATCTGACCTTAACCTTATTTACTAAACCTGGAGGGTGAGTCTCACCGACAGACCCCTCCCCTCACAGCCCCGCATACCCCTAATGCCCCAAACAGGATTCTGGGGTTTGACTTCCATAAAAACACATTTTGACATTGCTTATGGAAGCCTATTGTGTATCTAGCTTGACAGCAGAGTGTGGGTCAGGGAGGGTGGGCACATCAGGGTCCCAGGTCCGAGCTATGGTCTGTTGACCTGGAGAGCACGTGGAGCCCAGAACTGCTTGCTGGGTTTGACTCAGATTCATTCTGGATGGTCTTTCTGTTCCGGCCTGGATCTAGTCGAGTAGATTTTTACGCATAGATTTCTTTCTTTTTGGTTCCATAGATCGGTGAAAAGCATCAGTTTGGTTTGGGGTTGTACAAACTCATGTGATCTCCAGTGTCTCTCCATGTCTCTTATGTTGTAAGTGGGTTTGAGATGCAGTTGAGCCAACATAGCAGAGCAGAGGGAGAGGTACCCCCCTCCGAGGCCCTTGGGTACCTTTCTTTCTCAGAAAAACTTCCACAGGACAGGAAAACTGAAGGCTGCTAGTTCTGTAAGCCAGACTAATATTTTAAAAAGCAATGTATTCAAATGGAATATTATACAGCCATCAAAAGGAATGAGATCTTGCCATTTGCAATGACGTGGATGGAACTGGAGGGTGTTATGCTGAGTGAAATAAGTCAATCAGAGAAAGACATGTATCCTATGACCTCATGGATATGAAGAATTCTTACTCTCAGGAAACAGAGGGTTGCTGGAGTGGTGGGGGTGGGAGGGACGGGGTGGCTGGGTGATAGACATTGGGGAGGGTATGTGCTATGGTGAGCGCTGTGAATTGTGCAAGACTGTTGAATCACAGATCTGTACTTCTGAAACAAATCATACATTATATGTTAAAAAAAAAAGAAGAAGAAGATAGCAGGAGGAGAAGAATGAAGGGGAGTAAGTCGGAGGGGGAGACGAACCATGAGAGACGATGGACTCTGAGAAACAAACTGAGGTTTCTAGAGGGGAGGGGGTGGGGGGATGGGTTAGCCTGGTGATGGGTATTAAAGAGGGCACGTTCTGCATGGAGCACTGGGTGTTATGCACAAACAATGAATCATGGAACACTACATCAAAAACTAATGATGTGATGTATGGTGATTAACATAACAATAAAAAAATTTAAAGAAAGAAAAAAAGCAATGTATTCATTTTATTCTGAAAGTGTCAGAGTCAACAGCGTGAACGTGGCGGCCTCTGGCCCACAGTGTGCATCACTGCCATATGCGCGTCCGGGGACGCCTCTGTGATCCCGATGTCACCTCTTAGCAAACTGTGCCACCGTGGGTGTGGCTCCCCTTCTCCACGTGCTCTCCAGGTCAACAGACCATAGCTCGAACCTGGGACCCTGATGTGCCCACCCTCCCTGACCCCTGAGCTCACAGATGCTCCACGACACTTCTTCTTTCCCCAGCCATCAATGAACCTCCTGAAACACTACCTTGGCCACGTCATTCCCCAGCTCAAAAACCTTGGAAAGCTCCCAGTCTTCCAAAGAAAGCCCACTTCACCTGCTAGGAGCATTTGGAGTCTGCCGATCTGACTTCTCCCGTTGCCTCCTCGGCAGAGCTGAGTGCAGCCCTTCAACAAGCTGCATTAACTACATCCGTCCTATTTTTAAGCCATTCCCTTTTATAAATTCCACATATCCCCTGTAACCTCATTTAAGGCCTGTCTTTTCCTCAAAACCCTCCTTTCCCTTGCTGAACTCTTGTCTTCTGCAGAGCCATGAGCAGTCACATGGTCAGATGTACAGACAGACAATGGACGTGTGGGTTAGGAGACACAATGCAGACCAATGCGTACCGATCCATGATCCATGGTTTCATTCCCAGAGAAGTGTGACAGGTGATCAAAAGCACGATCTGTGCATCCAAAGGAATTTTGAGTAGTTCATGCGTTTTCTTACACCACAGAGGCCCCTCATGGGTTGTGGTAGCTCCCGGTCTCCTTTCTCCCTTGGTTCTTGCTCTCAGCTGTGTCCATCAACCCCGCCCAGAGGAAGGCCTCTCCTTCCTCTCTTCCTTCAGGTCCCCCATCTCAAAGCCCCAGAGGCTGTCTGACAAGGAGGGACTCTCTTTGAAGGGAGGGAAGAGAAGGGTGTGGGAAGCCAGTCAAAATCCTTTCCAGAGGGCAACAGGGCAACGGGTAGCCAGGAGTGTGCCCACGCGAACACATCCTATCCAAGCATCCGTGTGTGTGTGTGCGCGCGCGTGCGCGCTTCATACATACATACACAAAAACTGGAGTTAATTTTACAGAGATTGTGTCTTATATACCTCCAGCCTCCGTAGAGCTAATAATAGATAAGGGCTTTTTCACTGCAGGTGGATAGACTTGGGAGACCATAATCCACCCACACTATGTAAAAGTCTGTAGAATTGAGTCACCTTGTATGAGGCTTTAGTGTAGTGTGTGTTTTCAAATCAGAAAAGGATTGTAATTATTTATGTTATGATTTGAAAATAAAATTTGCATATTCTAGATTCATTATATTTAAACCATAAAAGTTTGTGTTTCTAAGGTGTCTTGAGTTTGTAGACTGCTCTTTGACTTGATTACTTACAACCTTCAGCACAAGAGAGGATATGTATAACCCTAAATCTTACAAAGAGACTTGGGTCCTACTTGATCTCATTGTTTTGTAATCATCTTTACCAGTGTACTTTTCCCTATTGTTTCTTCAGTTCTGGGTGTTGAATATAAGTAGCTTTAATGAAGGTCCTGTGCTGGCTCAGGCGGTCAGTGTTCACACTATGACCTGCCCCTCAAGGCTCGGTCTAGGGCACCCCTAGGCAGGCAGAGGTGGGATTGTTTCCATTATTGAGATCACCTGCCAGCCACCTCTGCCTGCTCCACTTCCCTAGGAAACCTTTAGAGAGGATGAAGGAAGCGACCGTCTTTCTTTCCATGTTCCAAAGAACACTTTTCTGTATAAAAGATGCCCTAAATCCTTTGTAAGGTCCACAAGCTAAGCGGTGCCTCTTTAAGTGCTTGTCAGTTGTGACACAAATCATGGCCTCTGCTGAGTCTCGTCCCCGTTTCTCAGGAATAAAGAAGTCAGTTTGTAAAACGGCAGCAGGACCTGTGTTCAGGTGGGGTGGCTGCCAGGAGGGGCAGGGGGCTGGCCATCTGACCGTGATGTCAGGCTCAGCATTAACTCAGAAGCAGAGAAGAGGTGCTCATGTCCCTCACGCCTCGAGGCAGGCAGATTGGGGCGAGGAAGAGAGGAAATGTCCATGATGCTGGGGTTGGTGGGTGAGGAGCCGTCATGGCCGTGGCGAGCGGGAGCCCTTTCCCAGGGCCGGCACCTGCCCCGCGTTGACTATGCATGGCTACACCCAGCATGTCCCGTGCTGCGAGCTTATTCTGTGGGAGTCCCCGGGCAAAGGCACAAGCACTCGTGAAACAACTCAAACATTTATCAATAGGGGTGGATGAGGTAAACCCAATATATTCAGTGCCATGGACTATCACGCAGTGTTAAAGCGCATCGTAGTAGACAGGCAAGATTCACACAACCCGTCTTCACTAAAGAAGCAAGTTGCAGAAGCTTCTACACAATATGACCTAATTTCCATGAAGAAGAAGAAAGGGAGGGGGGAGAGAGGTTTGCATAAACATAAAGGAAAATATTGGGAAGGTCAGTTACTCATAATATTTAGCTCTTGAAGGGACAGGAGCAGATGGAATTGTCGGTAATATTTGCCTATAATATTTGAACTTTTATAACTCCTCTGTATAACTTCTGTAACCTGAAAACCTGAAAAAAGCCACTTAAAAGCCACCTTTTTTGACAAGAAAGGAGCACGACCATTGTGGAGAGGAGGGGTCGCTCACGCCTCTGCCGTCCCTGCGGGTGTTCCTTCAGCGTTGGGACCGTGTTCCTCACTGGACCCCTCCACCTGCCCTCAGCTGCCCCGGGGGCGGGGGCCAAGGCCGTGCGCCGAGGCTCCTCTCCGCACTCTGCTCGCAGGAGACTCACCACAGGCCGGTCCGCCTCTCCACCTCCCGTCTGGCTCTTGAGAGTCTGATTTTCGCAGTGTGCGGTGTTCCTCTTGAAGAGAAGCACTGGGTGAGCATGGAGTGTGTGGACGTAGATTCTATCTGCCTGTGGCACACAGGCTTGGGGTCTGCTCGCAGACACACACACACGTGCATGCACACGTGTGTCAGCCCTGCCCCTGTCGGCAGCTTCTCAGGTTCTGTGGCTGGGGTTGGGTGTGTGCGGGGCCCCCACCCCTCTGACTGCCGGAGCCGCCTTACGCCACGGCGACCGCTGACCAGGGTGCTCCAAGGAGGATGACCCGGCGGGCGGCCTACACGTCCTGGGGAGAGGTGGCTGTTTCCAGTGCCCTTGAAGGCGCCATGAGCCTTCTCCTCCATCCAGCTCTGCTCCACGTGCGGGGAGATTGCCTCTGATGGTGACGGCCCTCAGCTAACAAGTGTGCGTCTGTCCTCAGTTTGAGACCCTAGGACCTCAGGATGTGCAGGCCAGAGTGAATGAAACTACCAGCCTCTGGACAGGAATCAGGTTTTACTGAAGTGCTTACATACAGCGGGCGTTCCACACACATTTACAACGTTTTCAGACGACATATGTTGACTCTGCTGGCACCTGCTCCTGCTATTAGTGAACATTCACTTTCCCGCTCCCCTTCCCCTTCCTGGCAAGACAGACCAGTTCACGTGTGTTGGGCCTTGGCGCACGCCAGTGAGGAAGATGCACCTCTAACGCCCACACAACCCGTGGCCCCACGTAAACCTGGGTCTGGCTCTCCAGTCGGTCACGTGGCTCTGGTTACAGTGGCTCATCTGAGGTGGGGGCCCTGGGTCCTGGTGGCCTTTGGACACAGTCACTCCGTTGTCCCCGTCTGTCCAGGCTTTTGTCACCAGCATGAGCTGTTCTGAGCTGCTCTGACCACCCCTGCCGGCCAGGTCCTGCTCCCTCATGCTGGCCAGGTTCTAGGATGCCTCAGGAAGAAGACGTCACGGCCTCAGTTTTGGGGGCATCGGTATCATAAAAGGGGTCAAATCGCTGAGTCCAGCGGCTGGGCTCTCTCTCTCCTCGCTGGCTTCCTGCTCCCTCTGCAGCTGCTCAGCCACTCAGACCTAGCTCCCAAATCTGCAAACATCAAGGGAACTGGAAACCGGGACTGCTGCTTGCCCACATTGGACAGAAGCGCTCAACACAGTTTTATATTTTCTTAGAATAATTCTCCATTTAAGCAGAAATGACTGTAAGGTTATTTTCATTAAAAGGAGAATAGGTTTCTGCTCCCCCCCAGATAAAATGCCTGGTGTCTTTGTCGCCCTGACGACCAGGTCCTACAAGCTCGGCCACAGGTCACCCAGCCCTCTCACCCTCTTGGGGGAGGGGGCCTGCAGTGGTCTCAGGGGGAGCCCTCATAAACACAGACGCCCTCGAGGGGTGACACGCCACCCGCTGCCGCTTTCATCTGACGCCCTTCTCTGCGCTTTTCCTGGCAGGCGAGCAGGAAGAGGAGGCCCTGGGGCAGGTGGGGAGAAGCAGGGGCACCCAGCAGGGATGGGTCCTGCTGCTCTGTGTCCGTGTCCTGCAGACAAGAGGGCTGCCCTAATCAGGACCGGGCAGGGGGAGGCCAGTGCTGGGGGTCATGCAGAGGGAGCGTCTAGCCCCCAGCTCCCAGCTCAGGCCTTTGCCCCCTGCCCAGAACTGGCACCGAGATTAGAAAATTCCCTTGTTTTCCTTCCATGGTGGCTGGACCCAAGTTCTGGGCCACTGTACCTCATTTTAGGGACCATTTCTGTCTCCCTATTCACTTTGAAAATGGGCCTGTCTGCTTGGCCAAACATTATGAGCAAAATTACCTACATGCTGGAGTTTAACACAAATCCGACGAAAGTCCCAGTCAGCTAGAAGGTAACGCCAGCTCCACGGATGGGATAAGCAGAGACCAGCTCTAGCGTGTTACCGCTGCGTCACTCACCAGGGCTCTCCTGCTGGGGGAGGCCTGCCTTTGGCGGCCCGCATCCCAAGGGCTCTGGGGAGTCCCTCTGCAATGTGGCCGTGCACTAGATGACCGAGGTCTCTGTCTGCAGGAAGGACGGGGCGCGGGAGCCTCGGTGGAACTGCAGGGCGCTTTCCGAGCTGTTCCTCGAGACGGACAAGCTGTGGAGCCTGTAGTCCCAGCCGCAGAGCTGGCTGCGGCACAGGCTGCGCCACTTCCTTTTCAGCTCGCTCTGCACCTGGGGTGAGGGCAAGGCAACGAGGAAGTGGGGGTCAGGCAAACGTGGGAGCTTACAAACATAAACTTGGGGGCCGGTCGGCGCTGACAGGTCTCTGACCGACCCCTCTCCTCTGGGGTATCTGTAGCAGAGAAGGTGCGGCCCAAGCAGCAAGCTTGGGGTTTTCGTGAGTCAGGTGGGGAATCGGGACTTGGGAGCCAACTGAAGGAGTTGAAGGAAAGCAGGCACGGGAAGGGCTTTTGAACTGAGGGAGGGCAGAGGTGCAGGCAAGAGCATCAGGGGGCAGTTGGCCACACAATGTTGGGCAGGTGAAGGCATGTGGGAAAGAAGCAGAGCAGGGCAGGGCTCAGAGGGACTCACGCATGTACATCCTGACAGCTGTGGGCAGGGAGCTCAGGGAGCAGGGTTCCCATCCATGTGCCCGCCCCTCCCCACTGGGTTCTGCGTCTCCCGATATCCAGGGTCAAGGAGCAAGAGAGTGACCACACAGAGTGGCAGGGTCCTTCTCCACCACCTGGCCGGGGAGCTTTCTTGAGCTGGCCTGTGGGAGGGCGACCAGTGATGCTTGGTGTGGAGAGACAGGCTTTGTGAACGGGGCTGGAAGGGATGGCAGGCGGTTTGCCCGGACAGAAGACCTGAGCTCTCTTTCAGGTTGGGGGACCACATTAGGGAATCCCACACGAGCCGAATGTCCCCTGAGGTGTGAGAAAGCACTTACCTCACTGTTGAGAAAACAGTACAGAACCGCCACCACCAGGCCCTGCAAGCGAGAAAGGACCGTCAGAGGCCTCTCACCATCTTGGGGAGGAGGGACAGTCCCTTCCCACACAAACCTGAAATGATCCGATGCACAATTCAAACAGGATCTGATATTTGGAGGAGATGCCAATAGGAAACACGGCAAACACCATGTAGTGAACTCCAAACAGCGGGATGAGCAGCAGTGTGGACTTGGCGAGCCTCCTGCAGCACAGAGAGGGATGTTGAGCATGGCCAGGGAGCCTGTGGGCTCAGGAGTCTTGCACGTTGGCCCCACCGGTCTGAACCTTGTTTCTCACAAATTTAAGTAAAACCAACCGCCCCTGCCCAGAGATGGGCAGAATGTGCCAACATGGTGATAAAAATGACTGTACCAGGGCGCCTGGGTGGCTCAGTCGGTTAAGCGACTGCCTTCAGCTCAGGTCATGATCCTGGAGTCCCGGGATCGAGTCCCACATCGGGCTCCCTGCTCAGCGGGGAGTCGGCTTCTCCCTCTGACCCTCTTCCCTCTCATGTGCTCTCTATCTCTCAAATAAATAAATAAAATCTTAAAAAAAAATGACTGTACCTCACAATGCAGCAAAGCTCTTACAAGACCTCCTGACAGGTGCCCAGCAATGACACTGGTCTGAGTGCAGTGTCTCATAACCAGCATTGGCGGGGCAGAGGCAGGCCTGGCTTTCCGATCGCAAGAGCAGACTCAGCAGGGGTGCAGCCCCTGAGCACAGAGTATGGCAGCAGGGCAGGCGACCCGGGCTCTGGGTGGCCTGGACCAACCAGGTGTAATTGCTCTGTCCATCAAAGAGTTACTACCCTCCCTGAACAAAAATGCAGATTTTCTGCTCACTGCATTCTATGCTTGAAAGTAAAACAGCTGAGCTCACGTCCCCCTTTCCTGTAGCTGCTCTCCCCACGCCCTGAGCAAACACCGTCTCTGTTCTCTACCTGGTGTTTCTCAAGCTTCAGCGGCACCAGGACCACCTGGAGGTCACGTCAGAAGGCAGATTGCTGGCCCCTCCTTCGGACTGCTGGCTCTGTGGGTCTGGGGTGTGTCTATCAGGTTCCTAGAGATGCTGCAGCTGCTGTCTAGGAACCCCACTTTGAGAATCACTGCTCTGAGCCTGGGACTCTCACTGCTGCACATTAGAATCATCCAGCGAACTTTTAAAACTTCTCAGTCCAGCATGCCTCCTCACTCCAGTTAAATCAGGTCCCTGTGGGCAGGCAGGACCCGCACTGGTAGCTCTAACATTTTCCTGGGTGATTCCAACATGCGGCCAGATTTGACCCTCGCAACTCCAGCATGGACAGGAGCGTTGGGGTCCCCTGGGGGCTCGTCAAGAAGGAGGAGCTTGGCCCCCAGGCCAAGTCAGGCCACCTGGTGATGTGTGTGCATGTCAAGACCCCCTAAACGAACATCCGGTAGCCTCTGCAGTGACCCTGCAGCCTCATCCTGAGGATGAGGAGGCTCATCCTCCCTCGCCCTCCCAGCGAGGAGGCTTCACTCTGCACCTCCCTCACCTTCTCTTGTTTGTTGACCCTACCCAACGCTTAGAAAAAGTCATGAACTTCTTGACATATTTTTGAGGCACCTGCCTCAGACCTAGCACTCAGAGCCTGGGATGTAAGTTTTAGAAACATGACCATTTCTCCTGATTTCCCTCACAACAAAAACCACGTCCTGTGGTGTTTACAAGTGGGATGTCCTGTTTCAGGCAATCTGTGCAAACCCCAGGAGCCCAGGCCATTCTGCAGCATGACCTGGGCCTCATCAGCAAGGAAGGCCCGTCAGTGAGCATCACACTGCTGCCCGCTCATAGGTCCAAACATTTAACCTTACAGGGTTGCTGCATTTCATACCCCGGTTCAGCGCTAGCCTGGTGAACAGAAGTGGGTTATGTAGGGAGCTGTGCCCTTTAGTTCAGTGCGAGACAAAGAGTCTGCCTGAATTCCCTTATGTACATCATGCTCATTTCTAGAGAAGAGTTTCTAGCGAGGCTGGACCTCTGGGACCCTGTTCAGGGGGTTTGTTACTGTTATAAAGATAGTTGCAGAGAAAAGACATCAAGATACAACCAAAGGGCAGCATCACAGACAGGCTCTGCCTTTTTTGTCATCCTGGAAAAAGAACAGTTTCTATTTTCCTACTTAATTTTGTTTCTAAAATAAAAGCATATATTTCCAAGACGTACTGAATGAACACTCCCAAAAAACCCAAAGAAAAGGTCAGCATGGAAGCTAAACAAGACTAGCCAAAAATCAAACTTGATTTTGAAGAGCAACTGAGGGCAGTCCTGTCCCTGAGCTGCAGGTGCGAGTGAGCTCAAGGACCAGTACAGACGCTGCTCAGAGCGGGTAGCACGGCTTCGTCCTCTGTGGTCTGATGTGGAATCCCATCTCTAGGCCTGGCCTTCTGTGCCACCTCCTTGAGTGGACTGCGCAGAGAAAGGGATGCCTTGAGTTTTATGTGCCCTAGGGCACGGTCAGAAGGATCCGTGCACCAGACTTCCCCACAACACTTACTGGTGCCAGCACTAAATGTCTTTCAAATATTAACTGTATTAACCCTCCCAGCCTTAGAGATAATGACTATTATTTCCACTTTATGGATGAGGACACTGAGGCCCAGAGCAGTGAAGTCACATCACTCAGGCTTCCAGCTGGTGTGTAAGCCCAGCACTGGGTCCCTGGCTATGAGTGATGCTGCCTGTCCAGCTTCCAGGTCCACCCCTGGCCATAGTCAGGTCACCTGCCCAGGGTCACACAGCTCCAGGCGGCCGTGATTCCAAACTGGTCTATCTGAACCCGAGGCTCCCACTGGTAGGACCAACTACCCCGTGCTAAACTAGTTCTACTTTATAATAAGGTTGTGGGCTTTACTTTTTCTTTATAAATTCTTGACAGAAATTTATAGACTCTTTAAATTCTTTCATAGAGTCTTCAGGTCCTCATTAATGAGCTGGATGATTGTGGCGTGTTACTTAACCTCTGTTCTCTTTCCCACTGAATGGATGTGACGATGACCATCTTCATGAAATCATTCAGCCAATAAACATGAATTATTATTAAGTACAAGGCCTGGCGTTAGGTGCCAGCATGAACCCTGTGGTCTGATGGGGAAAAAAGAATTAAGCGTAAAATACAAAGAATGTGTGGTCAAGGAGAAGTCAGATTGCAAAACAGGCAGAGCAGGCAGAGTGCTTCCGTAAGCAAGCTCGCTAGAGGATATCCGTGCTGAAGCCAGGGGCAGGGCCTTGGAATGAGCACCATGGCAGCACCCTCCCTTGGAGAAGACACCAGCTGCCTTAGCCATGAGCACAGTCCCGCACCCAGAGGAGGCGAACTTGGGCCTTTGCTGCATGCGCAGACCCACGTCCTCCCTGACTCTAGGTTTCCAGGCCGCGGGAGGGTAGTGAGGGCAGCTTGGCTCCCGGACCCACACACATACTCACTTATACTGTGACTGGTCATTGCCGCCGACATCTGGGGACGTCAACTTCTGCAGTAAAATTCGTATGATACTAACAAAAAGGACAAAATTGACCTGCACAAATAGAGACCACATGTTTGTGTGGGATTTCCCTGCAGGGAGGGGGTGTGGCCGGGACGTCTGTGGCTCAGCCCCGCCTGAATCGTCTCTCCTCCCCTCTGTGACAGAAGTGCAGGAGCCCTGCCCAGCCTGGGGCTGCCCTCCAAGTTGGAGTTGACTGTGTCCCCCGACAGCATCATGTGTCTCAGGACCCAGGCTACAGGAGCAAGTCAATTCTGAGATGGGAGGTGGACAAATGACAATGTGATTCAGCTCCAACCCTGTGCAGTGCGTGGCTGTGACTTTCCTGCAGGGTTCCTCCCTGTGCCGGAGAACACGCCTCTCTCCCTCCACCCCTCCCCCTTCACTGAGCCTTCGTCCCGACCGGGACCTGAGTCTAGGACTGATGGAAGGAGCTGGGCCGCTGTGTGTGGGTCTTCTCTCAGAAGGCTGAGCAGAACAGGGCTATTTATATTTAATACAGGGAAGTGGGCTCCCTCTCTACTCAAGTGTGCAATGGATAGCTCATGTTTCAATACAGAAATTACTTACTATGATAGATATTAAAATTGGTGTCCGTATAACCCACCAGGGAACACTGTGGTCGTTGGTATCCCAACAACTATTGAAAAGAGAGAAGGAAAATCATGTTACCTCTGATTCATCCACAAACCAAGCGCATGAGGGCAAGTGCACTGCCTCTCAGCCCTTACACGGTACTGGCAAAACCAGCTGCCCCTCCCAATGCACGAGCTACGTGCCTGGTGTGTTTCGTGGCCCCACCTGAGGGCCCGTGAGTGCCGCTGTAGGGGCCGAGGTGCTCTGCACTCACAGGTCCGGGTGCAACCTGTCCCTATCCAGTGACTTGGTTTCATGTTATTCTTCCTGACAGGACAGTCTGCTAATGGAGAGGCGGAGCAAAAGCAGAACTCCAGGACATGGGAGAAGGGGGAGACCAAGCCCCAGGGAAGGCCCATAACTTGGGAGTTGGTGTAGCTCATGCTCACTCTGGCCAACAGAGGGGAGTTTTTCTCCTGAAAATTAATTTCCTCTCATCTCCTGAATGGTTTGTATTTGTACCTTGAATGAAGGTTTGAAATGTCTTTGCAATAACTGAGGTAGGCACAGCTATAGGAATGTCTGTCTAGCCATGTTTTCACTCCTGGTTTCCAGCGTAAGCGCTGTCTCCAGGAGGAAGCTGGGAGAGGGCACTCACAATGTCTCCATTATTCCTCCCGCAGTGAGGCTCTGCAGCCCCTCCCAGCAAGGGCAGAGACCAGCCCTCGCCTCTGAATCCTAGCTGGTTTTGGCAATAGGATGTGGAGCGCTTGGAACCCGCAGGATAGAAAAGAGCCTGCCAGTTGGTGCTATCTCAGACGTGCCAGTCCTCGGCCAACCCAGCAGGTGCCCCCGGTGTGTGAGCAAGCTGGGCTGAGGCCAGAAGAATGCCACGGGAGTCAGCCCAAGCTGCCAGTGCACAGAAACACACCCTATGAACTGCCATTATGTGAGCCACTGGGTTTAGGATGGTGTGTTACCAGTAGTAGATGACTGGTAGACTCCGAGAGCCCTTTATGAGGCACAACATTCATGGTGGGAACTTGGTACCTGAGTTTGGGGCCATGACCCAGCTGTATACATAAGACAGAAGAGCGTTGGACCCTGCTCAGGCTGCATTTTAGAGAACTATCTGAGAGTTGTGCCCCTGCTGGCCATTTTAACCTGGTCCACTGGTCACCTCTCTGTACTTGGCTCCAGGCAAACAATGCATGCATTTTGCTTGGTTCCCTTTTGTGAATGCTGCTTCCCCCACCTAAGGTGCTGGCCCCTCTCTGCCTGGTTTACCCTAATCCCAGCTCCACTGTAGGACCTGGTTCAGTTCCCATCCCTCACATGGATCTTCTCCAAATTCTGTCCCCCGCACCAACAGTCGTGAAGTCAGAGATCTTCTCATATGTGGGGTGTTCTGTGTCACTCTCTGCTCTGCTGCAGCTGCAAATGCAAATCTTCCCTGCAACCAGACAGGAAGCTTCTTTCTCGTTTCCGAAGACTTAGGATGCCAGCAACTTAGGCCAGGATTGCTCGACCTCATTTTAAAGGCAGAGGTATGGACCCAGCACTCACCCTGTATCTTCTAAGGAGAGCCGGGCTGCAGTCCACGCCCCTATGCAGACGGTGGGGATGCCTGCACAAAGACACCTGGTTACCACAACCTGTGCTACCTAACCGGGACAGCCCACAGGGACTCACATGTGCATCCTCATTCACCAGCATCAGCAAGGACGGGGGCTTTCTGATGGAAGGACCAAGTGGAAATGCTTCATAAACACACAGAAGTTTATGCTCATGCCTTACAAAGCACTGAAGATAAACATGTGTGGGAAAGCTAAAGCTTCACAGGTCCGCAAGGCGTCACCGTGCATTGTGAGTGTTGCTGCTGGAGTGTGGGAGCCTGGCAATTACAGTAAGGGGTGCTCCTCACTGTGAATCTGGGGGGCCCACTGCTTACGCCCCTTCCAATTCTGGCTATCGAAGGTCCTGCTAACTGGCGGGGAAGCCCTTCTCCTCCATGCCACTTCTTTCTGACTTTCCCACCACAGGGTATGCCCCAGGAATGGGACTTTATAGCAGTTTTAAACCACGTTCCTGGTTCCTAGAAATATGAGGGTGCTGCCTATAGGAAAGTCTAGTCGTGCTAGAAAAGCTCTTCTTAATATGACCGGAAGTGCATCCTAGAGGGGTAGGAAAGAGTTCTTCTGAGCTGAAAGGTCTGCATTTATAGGGGAGGGGGTGGAAATCAGGAACCTGGAGGGTTGGTGGGTGGCTGATGGGGCATCAGGCATACACAGGGGAGGACAGTCCTTACCCCATCCAATCAGGAGATAGGCTGCGAAGCGTCGGCTGGGGGAGAATATGGCCACCAACAGGGTGTGGAGGTATAGCCCCTCCACCAGGAGCCAGTAGAAGTTTGCCATGATGCAATACTGGAAGAAGACGAGGCTCAGCTTGCAGCCAACCTGCAATGTCAGAGACAGAGCAAGAGAACACGGCCCCATTCGGATAGAACAGTTCACCGTGGGCAGAGTAGCTCCAGGACATAAGGCATGCACGTGTTTGTGTAAGGAGCCAAGGACACCAACACAGTGGTGTTGGCTAGAGATGTGCACCATGTTAAAGTGAGCCCCTTGGCACCCACAGCCTTGGATCAGAACTCACTGGAAGATAAAACGGGCAGGGGGCAGATGCACACAGCCGCCTCTGAGAGCCGCGGGCTGAGGAAACACGGTGAGGCGAGGGCACCTGCCTGCCCCTCCCCCGCCCCTCCTCGGTCTGCATCCTCTGCCCAACCCGCTTTCGATTCTCCGATTCTCCGTTTGTCCTCGCCACCCACTCAGCAAGAGACAGAAAAATAAAGGGTGAAACAAGAGAAACCAGCAAGCATGTTACGTCCCCAGGCATTTTGAAAGAGTTTTCACTGGGAAAAACCGGGTAGTATATAAAACAAATATATTTTAATCTCTCAGACCTTCATATAAACATACCAGGTATTTTAGTCTCTTGAGTAAACATGAAACTAAGGCTTTTAATTGGCAAGTTTGTGTAAGTGTGCTGAAAAAGAACAGAACTTCCATCTCTATTCTTCTATATCTTTGCTGCCTCCCCCAAAATATGTATGTGTACAGGTAGATATCCACACATTCTTACATGTGGATAGATGTACCTTTACATACGTGGATGTATTTTGATGTATGTATGTGAATATATGTCTGTAGGTGTGGACATATTTATGTATATGTGGACACACTTATCCACGTGCATGTATTTATATACATGTGCACACTCACTCGTGAGCTCCATCGGACAGAAATGAGACAACAGTGCACGGAGATATGTGTGCAGGGAGGGTTGTGGTGCCCGTATCGGTGGAATGGTTAAATGCATGATGTCACAGCCTCACGCTAGGCTATTGTGTCACCATTCAAACTGACACACCGGTTGGCCTGGAGGATTGCCATGATGTCGTGCTGAATGAGGATGGAAGATGCACATGTTTGTGTTGAAGGTGACTCTGTTTTCTTGGTAAAACCGTGAAGCCACCACCCGTGCATGTCTTTCCAGCTGTCCGTTCCCCACCAGCACACTGTGAGGACAGGAGGTCTGGGGCAGGACGAGCTCTCTGCTCACTTCCCCTTCTCTGGCCATGGTTTCAGATCGCATCCCTCGGGGTCGAGAGCACGGTGGGAGGGCCTCCAGGGCCTGCTGCCACCCAGACGGCACAGCACAGAGACGGAGGCCGATCGCCGAGGCCCGTCCCCTGGGCTGGGGGCTTCCTAGTGCCCCACACAGCCAGAGTCGAGAGCATCACGCCCTGTCTTCAGCTGGGGCTCCTGCTGAGGGTCGGCTTCCAGGCCACTTGGCTGTTTGTTTTCTCTGGACTAGAATATGCTTTTCCAGGAGTCAGACGAAAGCCAACCAAAGCAGTGCAGAGAAGGATGCCAAGTGTGTACACAGCTGGGCAAGGGTGGGGAAAGGAAGTGGGGTGCTGCCCCGTTTGGTGCTACGATCTAATACGAGACACTTGGCTTTGAGGCCAACTCCCTGAAAAGAAGATGAAAGTCTGCGCCCACCTCCAGGCTGTCAGAGGTAAGACTGGGTAACATACCCCACACCCTGCAGAAACATAAGTTGTTTCCCTAGTCCCTGGAAGACATATGGCATCTGTAGTGTTGATTAAAAACAAAAAACCGGGGCACCTGGGTGGCTCAGTCACTGGGCGTCTGCCTTCGGCTCAGGTCATGATCCCAGGTCCTGGGATCGAGCCCCGCATCGGGCTCCCTGCTCCGCGGGAAGCCTGCTTCTCCCTCTCCCACTCCCCCTGCTTGTGTTCCCTCTCTCACTGTGTCTCTCTCTGTCAAATAAATAAATAAAATCTTTAAAAAAAACCCCAAAAAACAAAAAACCCAGGATATTTTATTTAAATGTGTGAGAATACCACGAAGCCGCAGCGGGCTACGAGACCTCACCACACAGTGCGCCGCAGAGCTGTGTACCCATGGGAATGCCCGCTCGTGTGCCTTCACGTGTCCTGGGTCCATAGCAGTGCCACACTTGAGGGTGGGGGGCTCCCACCGCACCACCCAAAGCCCCAGACCAGCCATCCTTCCAGGCACAGATCCAGACACAGACGGAATGAAGTCTGACGGTGTATGTGTTCCTGTGTGCACTTGTGTCTGCACATATGTGCTTGTGTTCATGCAGGTGTATACCTCTGTGATCATGTGTGTATGCGTTTTGGAGGCATGTGCATGTAGGTGCACACATACACATAAGCATGTTGATGGGCTCTCATTCACTTCTCTTCTTCCTGACCCTCTGCCATTCTGACCTGGGCTGTGGGCTGGCTTGGCAGCTCACTGGGCCCAGGACTGTCCATGACGTGCAGGTGCTCAGCCTCCAGCCTAAACCTTTGCCTCTCATTCCCTCCCCAGCCCACCTGTGACAGCAGGCAGTGGCCAGGCCCAAGCTTAGCTTTGGGCTGGGTGTGTCCCTGCTTAGATGTTGTGGCTTCACTGCAGAATTCATGGCTGCCACTGTGTATAACCTCACTCGACCCCTCCCTGGGCTGGGTGGCACTCAGACCCTCAGGGAGTGCCTTGGAGAGCCTGAAGGTAGGTTTTTGAAAACCCTGATTGACTGCACATGTCATCCGTTCTGGTCTCAGTAAGAATAAACTGCCGGTGTCCCAGCCCACATTGGGCAGCCAGGAGGAGACACACTGAGCCCAGGACTCACTGCTACGTCCAGAGTATATGGGAAGAGGGGGCCAGTGGAGGGAGAAGGCTTCTTTTGAAAGGAAATAGACTCTGTCGAATTCTTGGCCTCTCCAAATGTCTCGAGAAATAGACCCTTGGACCTATTTGGGGGAGATTCCCCTAGTGTTCTGCTTGGGAGAATAATGTTGGCTTGATACCCAGCTGAGAACAAAAATGTCCAAAAAATGCAACTGCAAGAAAAGATGTTTTCTCTGTTCCTCATGCTGAAGTCTGACTGTCTCTCTGACCTACTCAAGACCTTACCTCCTCTGGGGACAAGAAGAGGGAAGACCCAGTCCTGCCTCCTTTCCTCCTGCCTCTTGTCCCCCACCCTTCTTCCCCTGTTGGCACACGTCTTGGTGACATCCTGCTGGAGGGGTGCAGCTAGGTCCCCTCCCCTTTGCTCTCATGGCTCCGGGGATTGGGCAGGGGAACCCTGCACCTGCTCCCTCCTTCTCACACTTCAGCCCTCAGACGTGAATCCTCGGGCATTTCCATGCCAAAGTGTGCGGTGCACCTGCGGTTTGAACCCTGACCATAGCCCCATCGAGCCCTTTGAGCTGCCGGGCTTCCCTCAGCTCTGTGTCCTCATTCACAAATGGGCAAACTGCTCTTTTGAAGGTCACTGGGCACTCACCACAGTGTCCAGCCTGGCAGGAAGACCCTCAAGAAATGACTAGGTGGATGGGCAGAGGGGTCGGTGATTTCCAGCATAGGGGCAGGCGGGGCGGGGTAGGCACAACAGGGAGCTTATTCCCCCGGGTCCCTGTCACTCCCCTGCCCCTCAGTGGGGGGCCCACCAGGTCTTGTCTGTGTGGCTGGGAGCATGGCCCTGGGTTGGATGGCTGGTGTCTGTGGGCCCACCAGGGTCACTGGCCCTTTAACAAGAAGCTAAGGAAGGAGGGCTCCTTTGAGCAGAGCTTTGAGATCCCTGCCCCCTGGAGAAGTGAAAGGAGGTTTCCCAACAAGAGGAGACCCCAGAGTGGCACTGGGGCTCAGCCCTTGTCACCCACGTGGGACACTCCAACATGGGACAAAAGCCTCAAGGGCTCTGACTCCTATTTGGGGGTGGGGGTTTCCCAGGTGAAGGATCTTGTATTACTTTTATTATTACAACAAACTCCTTGCATTAATTCAGTCCAAGTATGTCATGAGCTGATTATCCCCAGAAATCTATTTATCTGCAGGCCTATGGAACAGCTGATGTTCTGTGGTGTCCTAAAACTGAATTAATTTAGATCTGTTCAGCCCAGAGCAACAGTGTCAGCAGATGAATCCATCTGCTTGGACCTCGAGAGGAGAGCGGCCAGTATCCTGGCTCCTTCTGCAGAGAGGAGGCACCCTCAGAAGCTGTGGTCAAATTGAGAGCCCAGATGAACCGGAGCCCAGACGCCCGCCAAGGTCCTGAGGTAGCCTTACGCGGGCGGCAGAGAAAGACTCGGCAGAGCGACGGGCATATTGGAGGGGCATGGCCAATGTACTAAAAGAACTAAGCACTGTAGGTGCACTATCACCACCAACACAGAGGGGTGAACAGCACAAGTAGTGTCCATCTGTAGAAACAATTAGCATGGTTTTTCCTCGTATCAGAGAGCTGGGCTCAACATATTCACAGACATGCAGCTGGGCTCCTGGCAGGTGCTGCCAGGAGCTCATTAGCTGCATAGGTGATTTCCTCCCAGCAGTCCATGGAAGCATCTATTACTCATAATCTGGGAGATTTGGGGTGAAGATAATGGCACTGTGCATCTCCATCCATGTCAGGATTCTTCAGCCCAGAGCTGCTGCTGCTGATCACTTGGAGCAGCGCCTTCGTGTTGTTCTGGCTCTGCCTGGGGGTCAGTGCTCATGGCCCATGACCTCCCAGCCCCTGGAGGTGCCTGGGACACCATCCCTGTCTCACCTACCAACCTGGGCCTGCTCTGAGCCCCAGCCCTTGGTCCCTCTGCTTCTCAGGCCTGACCCTTGCGTTTAGCCCTGTGCACTGGCTGTGGGACTTCATCACAGGGTGAGGTGGGGAGAGAGACAAAGGGCTGAGGCGGTAGGAGGGAGGTCCGTGGGGCTGCAGTTCACAGAGGCCACCCTCCCCTCAGCGAGAGGACCCTGCTTACAGGGACAGCCTTACCCAGGAGGATGGCTGGTCGGGGCAGTGCAGTGTGCCCGAGCTAGAATATAGCACATCGTCCTTTACCAACACTGAGATGGCTCGGAGGATGAAGGAGAGGAACAGGTTCAAGTGGATGTAGTTCCGGGTGCAATGCAGCTTCCTGTGGTGGAGAGAGGCAGGGATGAGGGGTGGAGGGGTGGGGAGGCAGGGATGAGGGGTGGAGGGGTGGGGGAGGCAGGGATGAGGGGTGGAGGAAGGGATGGGGTGAGGTGGGGAGGGGTGGGGGTGGGGGAGGCAGGGATAGGGGGTGAGAGGGATGGGGTGGGGGGAGGGATGAACACTTTAATAATTGGATTTAATATTAAGGCTTCTTTTTTTATGGAAGTTTCTATTCCTTCCTGTATGTTTAGGATGTTTTCAGTTTTGCATTATGATAACTATCTTTGTAGGTAAACTTTTCCTTTATTTCTAGCTCCTCAGGTTGGAGTCCTGGAATGGGATTTCAGGATACGAGTATAAAGCAAACAGTGCTGAGTTCCAAGTCTGCAATGGCATGTGCCCACTTCACAGGTGTGAAGACTGAAAATCTTTGCAGTAAATTTCCTGCAAGAGCCATGTCAAATCATCTGCCTTTGAACTTAACTTTATGTGATACCTTCCTTCTCTAAAAAGTGCTCAGAACACTTTGTTTCTAATTCACTTGTACCACTTAGATTCTGCTCTGGAGAAAACTTAACTGGTATTTGATTTGACTTTTAATTCACAGCCATCAAGAAACAAGCTACTGCACACAAGTGACTGCTAGCTCTTTAGGTTTCAATAAAGTTAAAAAATGTTGAAGGACATTAAAACACATACTAAGGAAGACTTCTACGAGAGGCAACAAAGAAGTAGCTTCTCGACTACCTCCCCCCAGGCAGCTGCCTAAGGACCAGGAGAGCAGCCAGAGAGGCCAGGACCCGGAGCACCGAGACCCCGGTAAGAAGAAAGGCCCCAAGACGTGCCCTCCCTCCAGCCTCCACCTTGGTCTCGCCTTGCGAGGCCACTACCTACACAGAGATTAGAAAGAGATTCAGATACTGGCATTTTAAGATACGGGACTCTCTTACTCAGATTAATATATTCAAAATAATTGATGAAGAGGTGGAGAATTTTATTAAAGAACGGAATTGATTACAAAAATCAAATGGAAAGTTGAAAACTCAAAAAGAACCCTGAAATTAACAATCAAAATGGCTGAGTCTGATATTAGATACAATAAATGAGAGTACCATGAAATAGAAAAGAGATCGATAGAATATGTATAGGCTTCAGTAGAAAGAAACAAAATAATGGAAAGTGATGTAGGGTTTGAAGCCAACAGCCAAGAAAGAATTCTTGAGATGTCTTCTGTGCAAAAAGGTGGTTTTATTAAAGCCTGGGTACAGGACACGTGGGCAAAAAGAGTTGCACTGGGGCAACGTCCACAACAGCCAAACCGTGGGAAGAGCCAAGATGTCCATCGACAGATGAATGGATAAAAAAGAGGTGGTATATATACACAATGGAATATTATGCAGCCATCAAAAGGAATGAGATCTTGCCATTTGCAACGACATGGATGGAACTGGAGGGTGTTATGCTGAGTGAAATAAGTCAATCAGAGGAAGACATGTATCATATGACCTCACTGATATGAGGAATTCTTAATCTCAGGAAACAAACAGGGTTGCTGGAGTGGTGGGCGGCGGGAGGGATGGGGTGGTTGGGTGATAGACATTGGGGAGGGTATG